GGAGACCCTGTGAACAACAGACCTGAATCGTGTCCTATCCTGTGCCGTCCTCACACCTCCTGATAGACTAGAGGCTACTGTGGCAGTCACTGTGTCAATCTACCTCATTGAGGGTCTTGTTCTCCTTTGATGACCTTTTGCCTTTCTGAGTATCCTGTCCCTCTTCAAAGAACAGCCCTTCCAGCAACTTGCCTGAAGTAAATGAGGCGAAGCTTTATCATCTTTGCCTCCAAAGAGTACTCTGGATGCACTTTCTCTGAGACACATTAAAATTCAATATATTTAAGTAAAAAAATATTAGAACAGATACAAAAATTTAGTTAACACAATAATTCTTGTTGTTATTGATGATTGCCTTTGAGTCAAGTATGCCTCATAGTGACCCTATGGCTTGAAGCCCTTCTACAACGATTGACATTTATCAAAGTTCATAGAGTTTCTCTCTATGTTGTTTAGGAAGTAGATGTCACTTATGTGGATAACACAATAATAATATACTGAAAAAATTCACTTTTTCATGTACAGTAACAATGTTATTGTTATGTGCCATTAAGTCAGAGCCAACTGACCCTTCAGTGGGCTTTCAGAGGCAGTAAATCACACAGGAGGAGAGTGCCCATCTTTCTCCCATGGAGGAGCTAGTGGATTTGAACCACATACTTTTGTGTGGGCAGCATATCACCTTACCACTAGGTCACCAAAGCTCCCTACAGAGCAACAATACTTATTATTAGTGCCTGTGAAACAAAAGAAATAAATTTAACCAGAAAAATGTGAGACCTTTACTTACATCTCTAGAATTCTGTTTTCAAGAATTACATAAACTTATTAATAAAACTTATTAAAAAACAAAACTAATGTAATGATACATTTTTTTAGAGACTGAACAGTTGAAAGATATTTCTAGAAAAGTACATAAGCAAGAATTGACAAAAATACGTCTATAAGGAATAAACAGTGAGGAGAGCATTTCCTTAACAGATAGTAAAACCTTCTAAAGAATTGCTATAATGATGATAATAATAATGATACTACACTAGTGGCCTAGTGGTAAGAAGCTGTGCTGCAATACCAAAGGCACTTCAGTAGACTCCACCAGCTGCTCCATGGGAGAAGGACAGGTAATCTCCACCCATAAGATTAACTGTCTTCAAAAACCCGCTGAAGGGTGAGCTATGGGGTCTGTTACGATTCAACGGCATACAACAACAACAACAACAAGTTTTTTTTTACAGGCATCAATTCTCATTTTGCTTATTGTTCAACTTTTGGATGCATATGAAACAACTGAAAATACCACCTTTTGGATCAGGTCAGTCTTTATACTGACATCATGCTCTCAAGCACATTATAGAAGTCCTTGACCCCAGATTTTCCCAGTTTAACATTATCTTTTGAAGTTTTTCAAAATAAATTTTTATTTTATACTGGTTTACTTATTTACAAAGTTCATATACGTTGGTTTTCAAACCAATCTTTCCCATTTTCTTTACCCAACCCTTCCTCCTTCCATCAAACTGTGCAACCTTATGACGCCTTCGAGCTGTGGTGTTGGAGAAGAGCACTGAATATCCCATGGATGGCCAAGAGAACAAACAAATGTCTTGGAGAGGGTGCAGAGTGCTCTTTGGAGGCCTCACGTACTTTGGACATATTGCTAGGAGCTGCTATTCCTTTGACAGGGACATGATTATTGTGAAGGGTGGAGGGTCAGTGAAAGAAAGGAAGACCCTTAACCAGGAGGAATGACACGGTGACTGCTGCAATGGGCTCTGGTGTGTGAGGATGATGTAGGACAGGACTGGATTCAGATTTTTTTTTAAATTCAGATCTTTTGTACATAGGGTCACTGTGAGTCATACTCGACTGGATGGCATCTAACAGCAACAACATGATTAACACTTTCCCCACCCCACCCATCTTCACCTCTCTGTTACCTCCCTCCCCACCCTGGATCCTCATACACATTCTACAAAAATTGTCTTATACAGTATTTGTCCTTATGGGACTGAGTTAGTTCATTCAGCATAATGTTCTTCAGCCCCTCTCAAGTTAGGTAGTGATTTTTAAAATCATTGCTCCTGCACGCTATGCACTATCAGGATTTCTCTGGTGGCCTAGTTCTTAAGGAGCTGCTCTGCTAACCCAAAGATTGAATCTCTGGGTCATTCTGAATCACCAGCAGCTTCATGGGAAAAAGATGAGCAATCTCTTTTAGAGCAATTTATAGTCTGAGAAACCTAATGAAGGATCAGTTATGAGTTGGTGCTGATTCAACAACAGTGGGTTATTTTGGGTTGTGGGTTTTTTTTCTTTCCAGTATTATTACTATTAGTGGGAAGCTCTGGTGATCTAGTGGTAAGAACCTGCACTGTACTCCCAAAGGAATGAGGTTCAAATCTACCAGCTGCTCCACAAAAGGAGGATGGGCAATCTCCTCTTGTATGATTTACTGCTTCCAAAAATCTACTATAGGGTTAGCTATAGGTTAGTTCTGACTGGATGGCACACAACAACAATGACATTCATGGGCTTTCTATGTTCCATCTAAGCTATTTACACATAATTTGCACAATAATTTTGTTAAGACTTACATTTTTATTACTTTTTTTTACCAAAGAATCACATAGCTGATTTATTTTTTGTTATAATAAATTACAATTACGAATTGTTGTTAACATTTTTATTACTTTTGATATAAGGAAACTGAGATACTGACAGGTTAAGTAGTTTGGCCAAGGTAACATTCAAGATTGGGAAGTGTTCACCATAGTGGAAAAGTAGTTAGTATATTATTTTTGAAAAGTAATTTGATCTTTTCATTCATTCATTTAACACATATTTATTGAATGGCTAATCTTTCAAAGCACTTCTCTAGAAGCTGTGAGGTCATGGCAATGGAGAAAAATAAAAAATGAAAAAGGCTCATGACTGAAGACCAGAAGAACTATGGGATGTCAAGGACAACATCTGTGAAATAAAGCAAACGCTCATTACAAAGACAAGGGAGAAAGGCAGACCAAAATGGACATCAGAAGAACTTCTGCAACTTGCATTTGGATGTCAAAGTGCCAAAACATAGGGAAGAAATGCTGAAGTAAAGGAGAAGAACAGAAGGTTTCAAAAGGCAACTTGAGAAGACAGATCAAAGTGTTAAAACAAAATGAACAAAGAGTTGAAGTTGGAAAAGCAAAAAGAACATGCTTGACATTTCTCAAGCTGAAAGAATTGAAGACCAAGAAGGAAGAGGTAAGGATGGTGAAACTTTGCCTCCTATACTTGGGGCATGCTGTCAGAGGGATCAATAAAGACATGTTGCAAAAGGTGGAGGTGGAGAGAAAGAGAAGGTGGCCCTCAACAAGATGACTAACACAGTAACTGTTAACAATGGCTTAAGCTATCAGAGATGGTAAGGCCGTGTAGGAGGGCAGACTTTAGATATGTCATCCACAGGGTTGTTACGAGCTGTAGCCACTTCAGTAAACCTAACATCCACCTTTATAAAACTTTCACCCCAAGGAAAAAGACAATGAGCAAGCAAGATAAAATGATTTCTGAGACTGGTAGAAATGGCAACAAGTAAATGATAAAGAAACAATGTGAAAGAAATAAACTAGAAAAGGGACTCATTTTTATCAGTGCACAAGATGTAATTTCTGAAAAAAGCAAAACTTCTAATTGACCACAAAGCCAAGAAAAGGAATGAAAAGGAAGTCATGCAATGAGAGGAAAAATTCTAGCCAAGTGGAAAAGAAAGTGCAGAAATTCCTGAGCTAAGTAAGACCAGGTCAGAAAGTTGAAAGAATATAAAGACCAACGTGCCTGGAGAGCAAACAAGTATATGATAAAAATGAATGCTGATTAAGGGGACTTCCGGTGGCCCAGTGGCAAGAAGTTGTGCTGTAATCCTGAATTCACATGGTTCGAGTCCACCAGCCACTACATGGGAAAAGGATGGGCATCTTCTCTCATGTCATTTACTGCCTCTGACTCTTTGGCACAACACCACCACAAAGATGGAGGGCTGGTAAAGAAGAGGTAGACCCCCAACGAGATGGACTGACATGGTGACCTCAGCAATGGGCTCTTGTGTGTAAGAGATGATGAGGATGACACGGAATAGGGCAAGGTTAAGATCAGCTGTTCATAGGGTCACTATGAGTCATACTCAAGTTAAAGGCACCTAACAATAACACAACAGTCACATAGAATCTACTACAAGAAAAAAACTGGTGGAGGGGAGAGGAGAACAACATGTTTCAGTCCAGCAAAACCACTTCTAGGACTAACAAGTGCATGAAAATCTACACACAAAAGAATGTTATTGTTAAATAATCTGTGTAAGGGAAACAACTAGAAAAACCTACATATTGATCAATTGGAGAATGATTGAGTATGTTATGGTACAGCATGTAAAGACACACAACATAACTATTGAAAAGTCAGTTATAACATGAACCGATTTGGAAAGGTATCCTAACAATATTATACAAATACATATTATACATATAAGGTTTTTCCCCATAAGATGACTCCTTGCATTATGATATATCAGGAATATTAATGCCTAAGTCTGATCCTGGATAAATTCCCCTTTGCTTCACCTCTTTCCGTCAAATGTCCTACTGTATATCCCCTCCCACCTCCCTCTCCAATTCTCTTTCTCCACTAGTATTCCAGCTCACAGCCTCCTGCTTGTTTTTTTACCTAGGAACATATATCACAGCATGACAAACTTTTAACAGGCTACAGAAGAACACAAGAATACCACTTTAGATTTTCAAAATTAACATCATAGATTCAATACTATGTAAAGGACTGTTAACAGTTCTGATAATTTTGGAGTATCTATATAGCATCAGAAACTTAAATCTATTTAAAAGTCTGATTATATCCAAATGCTCAAAAAAAAGACAATTTTCACTTGAAGTAGAAAGATATAAATGATGGTGTCACCATGACTTGGAATTGATTCCATAGCAATTAACAACACCACTTACCTCTACTTTAGTGCGATAGAGAACAAGTCGTTTAAGGCCACATAAATTAGCAATGTGGTTGAAAGCTTGAGGTGGTAGTTTATCACACGACGAAAGATTTAAGTCCTGTAGATTTGGACACATCTCAGAAATAACTTCCAAGCAAGTTTCATTAAGGAAGTGGCTGCAAGACAACTCTAGGCGCACTAATTCAGATCCACAAACTTTCAGGAACCTGTAAAAACAGTGTTCGGTGTAAATTTATACAACTGAAAGATACTGTTTCAAGAACTTTACAGAAGTCTAAAGGAGGAAGGGTAGGAAGGAGAGGGACGGCGGATCACAAGGTAGCAGAGCTTGGTGCATAGAGGGAAGGGGTCAAGGGATTAGGAAAGCTCTGGTAAGGATGTGAAAAGGTGGGGTAAATGTGGCCATGGGTCAACAGATTAATTTTATAAAGCACAATATAGGAAAGTGATAATATGACTAGAAGAATGAGTGGAAAACAGTGTACATAACCCCCCAATGTATACAAATGTTGTTTGCAAACCAATATAAAATAAATTTTTTTTTAAAAAAGACCTTAGAAATTATATAAATTCTAAGAAGATGCTTTCACCAAAAAAAAAAGGTATTTCCATTAGGGAATATATAAAATTTGTTTTTCCTACACTGTCATTCACTGCATAGTGAAATATACAGGGTTAGGCTAAATAAATTAACCCAAGAAGATAAATTAACTAGGGTTACATAATTTAAAAGTTCAATTAATGCTAAATGTAAAATTTAGCTGAGAGTGTATTTCTGCTTCTTATCACTCACATCTGAGTTGATAAAGTCACAGTAGAACATAAACAAAAAGTTGATAAATTCCCAGCAGATATTCTTTGCCTTGGCAGTACTCATTCAGTACTGGATAACATATTTTGAACACTGTACCCTAAATAGTGTATACTGCTTTACATTAAATGACCCTCCCCAAAACAATACCAGACCCTTAAGAAGATTCCTAGGTTGGTTCAACAGCACTGTTGGAATATTTTCACTCTAAGAGTTACTTGATGTTGTTGTGTACCAATGAGTCGGAATGACCCACATCGTACCCTCCAGCAGGTTTTCAGAGACGTAAATTCTACCGAAGGAGACTGTCCATCTTTTTCCCATATGGCAGCTGGTAGATTTGAACTGCAGTGCAGTTTCTTGCCTCTAGGTCACCAGAACGAAACTTGATATTGAAATTATTATATGAAATTGCTGCTTCAATAAAGTAACTCAAAACTCAACATATTTCTATTAAGTCAAAACCAACTCACAGAAAACCCTCTAGCATGTTTTCAGAGACTGCAAATCATACAGAAAGATTGTTCATCTTTCTCCCATGAAGCAATGGGTAAACTGGAACTGCCTGACAGCTGAAGTCCCTAGCCTAGACATTAGGCCACCAGAACTTCCTTCATATCACAGAATATGAATACACACACACACACACATACACATAAGAGTGTATAAGAGTGTGTATATGTGTGTGTGTGTGTGTGTGTATTCCAAGGTGCTGGCTGACTAAAAGGCCAGTGGATTGAACCCAGAAGCAGCTCTGCAGGAGAAAACAGCTGGTCTCCGTGAAGAGGACAGTCTACCTAGGAAACTCTGTAGGCAGCTGAGTAAGAGCTGGAATCAACCTGACTTCACACAATAAGAACTTAATAAAGATCAGTCCAGGAAACTTAATTAACTGAAAAAAATTAAACCCTTGAACAGTGCACTGATGATTTCTGTGGTGAAGCTTAGAACATCTTGACGTCTCTTTTTGCTTTCACTAAACATCCTCCCTACAAAGAATTACAGTGACCAATCAAGTCAGTCACCAGAAAGCCATTTATAAACAACCTGTGAAAAATTTCCCACTATGATTTAACCAATGATAGAATCTGAAAACACAATAAACAAAATGATCATGTCTATACCACTTTTTTTACTCTTTCTCTCAAAAATATTGCATATTTCCACCCTGAATAGATTATTTGGCCAATGTGCTTATGTTGTTAGGCACCAGAGTTGAGTATGAACAACAGATATGAACCCTGCCCTATCCTGTGCCATTTGACATACTTATCCTCACCATCTCTGACATACTTGAACCCTACAGTCACTGTGACCATCCATCTCATTGAGAGTCTCACTGTTTTTCACTGACCCTACACCTTTCCAAGCATGGTGTCCCTTTCTAAGGAATATCCCCTCCTAACAACATGCCCAAAGTATATAAGATGAAGCTTCACCATCCTTGCCTGTAAGGAGCACTCTGGCTGCACTTTCTCCAAGACATATCTGTTCCTTTGGCATTCCATGGGATAGTCACAGTACTCAAAAGGCATTCTTTTTCTGCTATCCTTGTTCATTGCCCAGCTCTCAGAGTGAGTCAAAAGACAATGGCATAAAACAGGTACACCTTCGTCTTCAAACTGACATCAATGCTCCTCAGTAATCTGGAGAGGTCCCTAACAGCAGACTTTCCCAGTACCACAAGTGTCCTGATCTCCTAACTGCTGGTTGTGGCTCCAAGTAAGATGAAAATGTTGATAATTTCAAATTTTTTTCCATCTATCATGATTTTGCCTCTCAGCCCAGTGGTTAGGCTTTTTGTCAGCTTTCAGTCTCCTCTTTACCCTTAAATATCTTTATAGTCTCTTTTTAAACCTCTCTGCCACAAAGGTAGGAGCAGCAAACCCAATTAGCTGTATTCAACTCTTGCTCTTTTTAATTATCACACCATTTAAGCTTATTTTTAAATGCAAAATTACTTTTTTTTGCCTTTATTCTCTTTTTATTCATCTCAACTGTGATAGCGGACACTTAAGAAAGAGAACCACAGCATCTTCATTTCTTTCAGCCTATTCAGACCATGTGAACTCTCATAAAGTGGTTCTTGTTATTGAGGGCATTATGAAGAGACCTAAGTTCACATAAACAATCCCAAACTAGGTCTCCTGCCATGAGGAAAGGAGTCTCAGGAGAGAGAAATAAATTGCTTATCCTTATGAGGTAAATTAATTTGTCCAAAGCAATACAAGTATATAAGAAGTAATTTACTAAATGGCAACTTGCACCCTAAAATAATTAACATCACATGAATGAACGTTTTAATCTGAGTTTACTCATCACAAAATAAAAGGCACTAATCCTCACAACCTGCCTGAGGTATAAAGAGAGAATTAAGCGTAAAGATCCATGCTTCTGATTTCTAATATGTTTTGTTAGCTGACCCTCACTGAGTATTATAAAAATTATATTTGAGATTATTTTAATCACAAATAACTTAAAGAATTATTTAATAAATTGGATAAAAAATAAAGCCATTTCTAAAACCCTCCCTGCTTAGCTGTGTAAGGTACTATCCAGCAATATAAAAGGAAGGGGGGGGGAATCTTAAAGTTATCTTTCCTCTCGAGGAGCTGAAAGGCTCTAAGAGACACAACTGTACCACACAAAGGCAAATAACTGAAAAAGCAAATCTATGAATAAACACTTTAGACTATGAACTGAAGTTCTGTGTCAAACCATGTACCAGACTTCGTGCATCTAGCAGCACTGGAGAGACTGTGTGTTGAAGGAATGAGTACATGTGTAGCAAATAAAGGGCTTAGGAGTAAGAACTAGCGTAACTGAGGTGAAAGCCAAGCCAACTACTGGGAAATGATCTGAAAATGATAAAGGAAAAATGAACCAAAGGCTTTTAAAATATCAGAATGATGTCATTTATCCTCAAACAACAAACAGGCAGGCAAAGGAACACCAAAGATGTCAGGGATCTGTATTAGAAAAGGAAGGAGGAATTTTAATAGATGTGATTTTAATGAGCAATGATATGTATGAGCAGTACTCAAAGTTGCAAATCACAAATCTACAGACAGAATAGGATTTTAATAACTGATTAAAAGTTTTAGGTGCTCATTATTCCAATTTAACCTATTTCCCTGCTATCCCAAATACTACAAAATCCTTAAAAAAGTCTTTAAAATCCAGTTAAACAGCTTTAACTGGTGAGGACAAAGTTTTAAGGCAACAAAAATAAACTGTATGGAACTTTTTCTCAGAGACTTGCTAAAAAAGAAGCTCATCATCACTGGTCTCTAGCTTAAAAATGTACCTTTTTTTTAAATTTTAAAATATTATAAATAAGTCTTCACAGTAATAAGCATAAATAGACCCTACTTATTCATAGATTATTCATTAATAATCATGTTATGAATATTTATTGTTTATCTGGGAATGCTGCCTACCAGCCATAATGACTATCAATTCAGCAGTCAAGTCAAAGGGGCCAACAGCAATCAGCGGGCAAACCGTCAATACCCCCCTCCCCAAAAAAGATTCCTCTCTTCCTGTTATTTAAACTTTTCTCTTTTAAGACACTGGGAACAGTGACTGTGCTTAAAGGAATGCTATCAAGATTTATGACTTTGCTGGCTGAAATACTACAATAAAATATGGAGAACATAAATTTATGTATGTGCTTTTGTGATTATTCACCCCTACAGCTACTATCTTAGGTGAACTGATAGTGGGAGAGAAATTGTTGGTGAGAAAGTAAATTGAAGCTCTAACCTTACAAAGGATCTTTATCCTTTATCAGTCTAAAATTTGAAACATATATGACAAGTTTCCTTCTCATAATTGATATCATTTCTTATATCAAGAATGAGCTACACAAATGCTGTTGTTATTGTGCCATTGAGTCATCTGCAACTCATAGTGACCCTATGTACAATAGCTCTGAAGACTGCCCCATGCTGAGACAGTCTGACTCCCAACACACCTACCCCCATTACCCTAGTTACTTTATCAATTCATCTAATCTAGGGTCTTCCTCTCCTGCGCTGTTCCTCCATCCTTCCAAGCATGATGTCCTTCTCTAAGGACCGGTCTCTCCTGGCCATGTGCCCAAAGTATGTGAAATGGAGCTTCAAAATCCTTGTCTCCAAGGAGAGCCTTGGTTTCACCTTCCCCTAGAGAGATAGATTTCTTCTATGTTCAAGACTCTTTTTCAACACCACAACTCGAAAAGCATAGACGATTCTTCTGCCATCCTTAGTCCAGCTCTCTGATTCACAGCAAGTAACTGTGAAGATCATGGCCTGGATCAGGCACACCTTAGCCTCTAGACTGAAATCGTCACTTCTCAGTACTCTAGAGAGGTTCCTGGCTGCAAATTTTCCCAGTGAAATTCAATTTTAAAAAATTTTTCTACTAGTTTTATTCACAAAATTTGAATACAGGCCATGGTCTTCACAATCACTTGTTATGCATCAGAGAGTTGGACAATGACCAAAGAGGATAGAAGGAGAATTGATGCCTTTGAGCTGTGGTGCTGGAGAAGAGTGTTGAGAATACCATGGACTGCTAGGAAAACAGATTCATCCTGCAAAGGGTTAAACCAGGTGGCTCCTTGAAGGCAAGGATTCTGAGGCTCCGTCTAACATACTTTGGACATGTTGTAAGGAGAGACCAGTCCTTGGAGAAGGACATCATGCTTGGGAGGGTGGAGAGACAGCGCAGGAGGGGAAGGCCCTCTATGAGGTGGATTGATTCAGTGACTGGGATAATCGGGATGGGAGTGTCAGAGACAGTGCGATTGGCACAGGACAGAGCAGAGTTTAGGGCTGTTGTACATAGGGTCACTATGAGTCACAAGTGAGTCAATGGCACATAACAACAACAACTAGTTTATTCACAAAATTTGAATACATTGTTTTCAAGAACAATTTTTTCAATTTCCCTCACCTCCCCCCATCAAATTGTACAACCCCATGATTAATTCCCCCTCTCCCTGCACACCCTCACTCCTCTGCTTCCATCCTCTCCAATTGAATCCTTATACTCATTCTACAATAATGGTTTTATACAATATTTATACTTGTGGGACTGAGTTAGTTCACTCAGCATAATGCTCTCCAGTCCCTCCCATGTTAGGTAATAATTTACAAAATTGTTGCTCCTGTGTGCTGCATAATATTCCATTGGGCTAATGTACCATAAGTTCTCAATCCATTCATTTGTAGTTGGACATTTGAGAACTGAGGCACAGACTGAGATTTGTACACCAATGTTCATAGCAGCATTACTCACCATTGCAATTCACTTTTTGATTTCCTGACTGCTGGTGCCAAGAGTTCTGACTGTGGAGCCGAGAGAGCTGAAATTGTTAACTTCTATCTCTTCTCCATCTATCATGATGCTGCTAACTGGCCCAGCTACGTAAACATTATAAAAATTAATTAATATTCTGCTTACATTTTACACATTGTATCAAAGAGATGTGTAACATTTTATCAAAGCTGCTGTATTTCAAACACTGACTACCAATGTTTTCTTTAATGTCTAGTTAGTTGCTATTTTATTTATATAAGTATATAAAGAATTACATATATTTATCTTTATCTTTTAATTTTCTCTGGAGCCTGAAGGCAGGAACTGTATCATATATCAAATATACCTCTTTACATGGTCAACAACACCCTGTATAATGCTTTGTACACAAAGCCTAAAAATAACACTTCATAAATTCCAAATAGTTAAAAAACACTCTGTACAGAGAAATGACTACACTAAAACCCCACTACTGACAGGTCTATTCTGACTCATAGTGACCCTCCATCAGATTTCCAAGGCTTCCACCCATTCATGGGAAGAGACCGCTCATTTTTCTTTCTTCAGCAGTCACTGGCAGATTCAAACAGAGAAGCCATAAGTTAACTGTACAACATATAATTCTCTGCTTTACCAGAGCCCCTTGAAGAGCTACGAAGGTTAATGAAGACTCTCAAGGTCCTTACAATCTACCATAATGCTTACTGGTATCACCTGGACTATCGGTTCTCAGCTATTTGTTAGGTGTGTTATGCCAGGTGCTGTCAAGTCAACTACAACTCAAAGCAACTCTATGTACAAGAGAAGAATCCTTGCCCACCTTCACAATCTCTGCCACACTCAAGCCCACTGTTGCCGTCCTTGTGCCAATCCGTCTTCTTCAGGGTATTCCTCTTTTTCATTGACCCTCTACTTTCCCCAATATGATGCCTTTTTCTAACAAATGGCCCCTCCTTGATAATACACTCGAAGTATGTGAGATAATGTTTCACTATCCTCCCTTCTAAGGCTGCACTTCACTTGTTCCAACAGAGATTTGTTTTACACTTTTGGCAGCCCCACAAAGCAAAGGCATCAATTCTCCTTTGGTTGGTCCAACTTTTACACACACATAATTCAACTCATGTGTTGTTGTTGTTGTTAGGTGCCGTCAAGTCGAGTACAATTCATAGTATCCCAAAGAACAACAGATCTGAACCCTATCCTATCCTGTGCCATCTTCACATCTTCAACACATTTGAGCCCACTGTCACAGCCACTGTGCCCATTCACCTGGTGGAGGGTCTTCCCCTCTTACACATGCCTTCTCAAGTATGATGTCCTGTGCCATGAAATAGTCTCTCCTAGCAAAATGCCCAAAGTGTGTAAGACAAAGCATTATCATCTGAAGCAAAATATCATGGCTTGGGTCAAGTGCACCTCAGTCCTTTTTTTTACTTCTTTTTTTTTTTTTTACAGGCTTTTTTCCCTTCTTAATAAAATTTTTGTTTTATACCAGTTTACTTACAAAGTTCATATATACTGTTTTACTGGATCGTTCCCCTTTCCTTTATTCACCTTTCCCTCCATCCATCAAATTGTGCAACCCAATGATTAAACCCCCTCCATCACCTTTCTGTTCCCCTACCCGCTACTCTACAATAATGGTCTTACACAGTGTTTGTCCTTATGGGACTGAGTTAAGTCACTCAGCATAGTGCTCTCCAGTCCCTCCCAAGTTTGGTAGAAATTTGTAAAAACATTGCTCCTGTGGGCTATGTAGTGTTCCATTGTGTGAATGTATCATAATTTGTCAATCCATTCCATTGTGAATGGACATTTGGGTTGTTTCCATGTTCTTACTATGGACAAGAGACTTTAGTATAAAGTGCAGGCTTTGTCCAGATTTCTTGCCTGCTGCTATGATGGGTGTTGACTGTGGATGCAAGTAAAATGGCATCCTTAACAACTTCAATAATTTCTTCTTATCATGATACTATTTAATGGTCCAGTTGCAAGGACTTTTATTTTCCTTGTGCTGAGGTTTTCATACTGAAGGCCATGTCTTTGATCTTCCCTAAGTGTTTCAAGTTCTGTTCATTTTCAGTAAGTAAAATTGTGCTGTCTGCGTATTGCAGCAGAGAGACAAGGTACATGTGAGTTGTGTTCACTATACACAGATCGAGTAGAAAAGACTAAGTTGTGTTCTATTTAAAATTTATGTCAAATAGCCAACAATTAAAAAAACCTGTGGGTTCTATAAGACTTCCCTGAAATCACACTAACAGAAATGCCTTCCTTTTCTCCTACAGACATCCCAATTAAGGAAATGTACATTATGAAAATTAATTTTGTTTATGCAACCAGTTGTAAGATACCTTTTTGACCTGCAATACCATAATTTTCATCTAAAAAATCTTTTTCTCTTGCTCTATCCAGCAGAAAGCAAGCCGAATACATTAAAATGCACTATACACCATTACTGGGGGTGTTTATGTTTTACACTGTTGCATAAATGATCAGTGATAGCATTTTAACCACAGTGTTACCGTTTAAGACATTATTACCTCATCCAAATCTAGTGAGGGTAAATATTTACTTCTGGAACCACATTTAAAAAAAAAAAAGAGTCAAGGGGAAGTAAGGTTCAATGTGTACATTTCCAATTCATAAACCATTGTCCAAGTATGCAGTCAAGAGAGGTGTGCAAGGATACTTGTTCATTTTTAGATCTCAAAAACAAAGTAAAAGATTATTCACTCATCAAAAATAACAAGTAGTTCCCCCAAAGTTTCTCTTTTTCTAGTATTTAACCTAACAAAAATGATGGGATTATACTGTAACGTACAATGAGAATAGCCATCATGAAGATTAAGAGAAAAACATCTGTTTCATATGAGAAAAATTACTATGGCATTACTAAGTGAACACTTCTGCATCCTTTCAAATGTTTACCAGGTGACATTTAATGGTAAGGAAACGAAATGTTTAAATAGAAAAGAGCAGAAACACCTGGGCAGGTCTGCAAGTGTGGTCGCCTCGTTAGCATGCAATCGCATTTTCAACATAATTAGTTTAATTGAGCTTCTAAATTTGGGTGATGTATTGCACATGTAATTAAGATTTAATTAAAAATGTTCTATAATAAATTGTTTTCCATTTCTGACAAATCGTATTAGAGAGGTAGATTTTGATTTGGAAATACGTTTTAAAATGTGTTAATCATCTGTGCTGAAAATATGAGAAAGGGAAAAATAGTTTTGTTAAGTTACTTGAGATTTAAAAATCATGAGGTTAAGGGCACAGTTTCCTTTCACATTATTATGACGTTTAGCTGAAGAGGATGATAAACTTCATTCAATTTTATAAGCATCAACAGTCTGAATAAGATGATAAACAAAATATATTCTCTATATCTGCAAAGTACATGGTCTAGAATTTCAAACTTCCATTATTAAAACACAGTAAATATAGCCTACTAGTGAAACACTATCATCAAAGCTTTGCACTAACCTGCTAAATCCTGAAACAGAGATGAAGCCCCGATTTCCTGTCCAAGATAAATTAAGCCACTGGACAAGAGTGCAGCGAGTCTGTAGGAATTCCAAAGACGTATCATTTACTTTTGCCCAATAAGGTTGCAAATTGAGGTGAGTGTATTGCAGAGGATCACAGCAATGCTGGTTCAGTAGCTTGCAAGTCTGGGCTAATCTGCAAAGGTCTGGTAGTGTAAGATGGCTCAGAATCAGCTGAATGAGCTACAGGAAACAGAAACCAGGATGATCAAGATGGAAAATAACAAGCATCACTTTATTAAGCATATCAAATGGTTAAATAAGGAATAATAGTAAATATTTTTCTAAAAAAATATATTTTCTACTTTCATGTAGAACATGCCAACATTCAATAAGCCAGTAAGAGAACTATCCAAATGCAAAGAAATTATATACATCAGAATATACTGCACTTCAAAATTATCCTCAGCATCCCAAGCTCATAATGGCTACTCATATCCTTAGGATGCAAAGATACATCATATGTGAGATAGACTTTTAAATAATACAATTTTTTTTTAACAACAAAATTCAAGCTCATTGCCACTGAGTTGGAATCAACTCATAGTTGACCCTCCAGAGGTTTTCACAGGCTGTAAACCACACGGCAGGAGACTCAATTTTTCTCTCATGAAGGGTTTCAACTGGCAGACAGGCATGGGCTTTAGGTTAACAGTGCAATTTCCTATGGACTACAGCACAAGGGCTCCCTAGTTTTTAGAATCAGTATTTCATGAACATCTGCTACACACCAGATACTGATGATAAGAGTTCTCACTCTCGTTGCTTATAGCACAGTGGAAAATCTGCAATTATAATGAGTTTTTCTAATTGTTTTGATGGAAATAAACACAGAACGCTAGTGAAGGACAACACAAATCTAACCTCAAAGGGAAAGAGCAGTGTGCTCGAGTAAGTGCAGCTAGATGTTCCTTGGAGGCAAAGATGATGAAGCTTCATCTCTCATATTTTGGGCATGCTGAAGTTTTGGGGTTTTTTTTAAATAAAATTTTTATTTTATACTGGTTTACTTACAAGGTTCATATACATTGTTTTTCACACCAAATCTTTCCCATTTCCTTTACTCACTCCTCCCTCTACCCATCAAATTGTGTGACCCTATGATTAACCCCCTGCCCCTCCTCACCTTTCTGCTCCTACCTCCCCCTCTCCTTGGATCCTCATACACATTTTACTTAATCATCTTTCTATTTCTACAATAATGGTCTTCTACAGTATTTGTCCTTATGGGACTGAGTTAGTTCAATTAGCATAATGCTTCCCAGACCCTAGGAGAGGTTATTTCTTGGAAAGAGATCTCATGCTTGGGAAGATAAAGGAGCAGCAAAAGAGAGGAAGACTCTCAAGCAGGTGGGCTGACACAGTGACTGTAGCAATGGGCAGTGTGTCAGATATTACAAGGATGGCAAAGGAAAGGACAGTGTTCAAGTACATTGCTTACAGGGTCACTGTGTGTCACACTCAACTCAGCAGCACCTAACAATGACAAATTAGTAAATGAGCAGAGGCTATGAATAGCATTTCATCAAAGACACCAACATAGTCAACAAACTCATGAAGAAATTTTCAAAATCATTAGCTATTGTTTCTGTTGCTGTTAAGTGTCATCACATCAAGTATGACTCATAAGGAACCCTATGAATAAGAGACCTGAACCTTGTCCTAGTCTGTGCCAATCTCACCATCTCTGACTCATTTGAGCCAACTGCTGCAGTCACTGTGTCAATCCATTTCAATGGGGAGCCTTCCTCTCTTTCCAAACAAGATATCCCTTTCCAAGGAACAGCCTCTCCTAGCGATATGCCTGAGGTGTGGAGAGATGAAGCTTCCCCATCCTTGCATCCAAGGAGCACTCTGGCTGCACTTTCTCTAAGACACATCTGTTTGTACTTTTGGCAGTCCATGGGCTATTCAGTACTCTTCTCCAATTCCGTAACTCAATGGCATCAATTATTCTTCTCTCATCCTTATTCTTGTGGCCTTAGCTAATAGAGTGATGTAAATCAAAACAGTGAGATAACATCTCACTCCAGGAACAGCACTAAAGTTCAGTAAGTCAGCAGACAGTAAATTCTGTGTAGAGATAGTAGAATGCTCGTATACTACTGGTGGGAAAGTAAAATGGTGCAACATCTATGGAAAGCAGTTGATCCTTGGAAAGATGGCAATAGAAACACCATTTGATCTAGCAACCACGCTGCTGCTGCTGCTGCTGCTGCTGTGTACTGTCAGGCTGGAATCGACCCATAGCTGGGTCTTCAGTGCATTTCCAGAGGTAGTAAACCGCATGCAAAAAGACTGCCCATCCTTCCCCCATGGAACAACTGGTGGATCCGAACCATGTACCAGCACAATTCCTTACCACTAAGTCACCCAAAGAAATTAACTGCAGCACAAGTTAAAACATGAACATTTATATTGAATTCTGGAGTATCAGCTGTGAGTCAGTTCTTTCTTGACAGCAGTCAGCTGAATTTGAATTATCACATTATTTAAACTCTGATGTTGTTGTTGTGTGTCATCAAATCAGAATCAATTTGACTCACAGCTGACCCTCATGCAGGTTTTCAGATGCTGTACAGCAGATGGAAGGAGACTGCTCATCTTTCTCCTGTGAAGCGACTGGTGCATCAGGGTTAGTAGAACAAGTCCTTATCTACCAGGCCACCAGCGCTCCCTTAAATAATAATAAAAAATTAAAAAAAGAAATAATACAGGGATTATATGTTCCTCAAATGTTTGAAAGAACCTAAGAAGTAGTTAAGCTGGGTCACAATAAATGTTTATAGGACAAATTAAACTTTTTTTGTTTTTACAGTTATAATAAAATTTCTTTCAGCAGAATTTTTAAGCAAAGAGGCACTAAAATTTAGAGATATGCCTGCATCTGAGGATGAATAATTCATATTTTCCAGGTGATTTTTAATTTAAATGATCCTTAATAACAATTGACATTGCTCTACAAAGTCACAACACTACAAGATGTATATTATAGAAAATATTCTATGAAACATTTCAAATAAGTATCAAAATATAAAAAAGAATAATTAAAAATCACCAAGACTATGCCATTGAATTGTAAAAAGCATTTTTGGATTTTGACTAAATAAAAGAGATTTGCAAGATAATACCCATTAACATTCATCTAATACTACTGTCTACCAAAATATGTTTTCATAGGGAGTATCCCAGCATAAAGTACCATGTGATACCACAGTAAATGCAGGATGTGTTGCACTGGGAAGAACTGCCAAACCACCACTCTATTTAAAACTACTCTACTCACGTTAAGGGAGCGCTGGTGGCCTTGTTGTAAGAAGCTGCACCGCAATCCCAAAGGCCCATAAATCCACTTGTTACTCTACATGAGAAGGATGGGTAATATCCTCCCATTCAGTTTACTGCCTCTGAAGACTCGTCAGAGGGTCAGCCATGGGTCAGTTGTGACCTGACAGCACACAATAACAACTACTCATATTAGATGTCTTATGTCATATTGACATATTTATACTTTCTAGCTCTGGTAGCATCATCTGTACTGTGTTGTGCTGGCAACCACCTCTTCAGTGGTTTGAATCCACCAACAGCCCCAAGGGAGAAAGGTGGGCAATCTTCTCCTTTACAATTTACAGTATCCAAAAACCCATTGGAGGGCCAACTAAGGTTGGTTCTAATTCATTGACAATAAGGTTTTTTTAGTTTGACACATTATATTTCTTTTTCTTTAAGTAAATTCAGTTACCTTCAAATGATCTCCTTTTTCGCTTTTTTAAAAATTTCTTGCAATTCTTTTTTTTTTTTTTTTTAAGGTGAATTAGAGACCTGGGACTAAAGGCCTAAACCATAAAGTTCACCAGGGATAAACTATGATTAAGCATAGACAGCCTAGTCTCTTGTATGAAAAAACTGCTTAATAAAGCCAAAAATGCTCAATCTGGAGAGGATAAAATTAATGAATTGGACCTTCCAAAGAGTTAATTCCTATGTACATCAAAAACTTTTTCTAGCAGAGTGAAAAGAAAACCTACTGATGGCGGTAAAACATTTGGCAATACCATTTCAAATTATAAAAAAAACTTTCTCTTTTTATTGACTCTGATAATTCAGTGTCTTTCAGCTTTAACTCAAATTTACATAGTATTCTTTGCCCATTTGGGACGATTCAATCTATCTCTTAGTTTCTTATACAGGGCGTTGTTATATTAATGACATTCCTTGCATTTGTTTCAAGCTTCCATTTTCTGCTGGTTCCTTCCCTCCAGATACACATGTCTATCAAAGATGATGAAATCTCTCCCAGGCTGCATCCAAATGAAAAACTTCCCATTCTACTGCATCTTCTACCACTTACTGCACCTCCTTCTCTTTCTAAGTTGCAGTAGATGCTCCCTATAATAGTTCAATACTCTCCCTTATTTTTAGACGCTTTTATAGTATAGCATAAAGTTGCTAAAGTGTTATCTATTATTGGTGGACAGTCTTAGCTATGTTTTAATGCATAACTGGAGTATATTTAATAGGAGTATATGTTTCTGCTTAGAAAAGTAAAGTTCTTGGCATTGCCTCCTTCCCTATATTTTTGTTATTGCTATGTGCCATTGAGTTACATGGGACTCTTACTGACCCTATGTACAGTAGCTCTGAACCTTGTCCTATCCTGAGTCAATCTCATCATCTCCTATAGACCTAATCCTATTTCTCCAGTCACTGAGTCAATCCATCTCATCCTGGGTCTTCCTCTCCTAAGCTGCCCCTTCAATATTCCAAGCACGATGTCCTTCTCCAAGAACTAGTCCCTCCTGGTCACATGTCCAAAGTACGTAAAACAGAGCTTCAAAATCCTTGCCACGTGCCCAAAGTATGTAAGACAGAACTGCAAAATCCTTGCCTCAAGGGAGCAGCTTGGTTTCACTCTGATCAGAAAAGACCTGTCCATTCTCCTGGAATTCCACAGTATGTTCAACATTCTTCTCCAGCACCACACTTCAAAGGCACTGATTCTTCTTCTATCATCCTTAGTTATTACCCAGCTGTCTGATACATAGCGAAGACCATGGCCTAGATCAGGGACATCTTAGTCTCAACTGACATCGTTGCTCTTCAGTACTCTAGAGAGGTCTCTGACAGCAGATATTACTAGTGTAATTCATTTTCTTACTTTCTGACTGCTGGTGCCAAGAATGTTGATTGTGGAGCCAAGCAAGGTGTAATTGTTAACAACCTCAATCTCTTCTCCATCTATTATGGTTCTGCCAACTGACCCAGTGGTGAGAATCTTTGTCTTCTTGATGTTGAGCTTCAATCCATATTGAAGACTATAGTCCTTGACCTTCTGCAGCAAAAGCCCCTATACTTAACCAAATATGGTCTTATCTATTATCTCATAATCACTGAACCGATAATGATAAAAAGCTATCAAAGAATACAGAAACTTCTAGCTTAGTTTTCTATTGCAGTTAATGTCATTTGTTTCCTGTTACTTTCTTAGCTTCTTAAGATGAAGCTAAGCTGAGATTCATTTTTGCTCTTAAGAATATCCTATCTTCTTTTATGTGATCTTTAGAATATCCTATCTTCTTTTATGTGATCTTTCTCAACTCATAGCCCCTGAGTCAGAATGACTCACAGCTGACCCTCCACTGAGTTTCTGAGGCTGTAAACTATTTCATGAGGAGAGCCTGCTCACCCTTCTCCATCAGAGTCACTGGCAGATTAAAACCTGAGAGGCTTGGTCTTTGGATTAGCAGTGCAAATCCCTATGTATGGACTACGCCACCAGAGAGCCCCAGCAATGTAAAAAGCCTAGTAAGAACACAGGAAAGCAAGTATGAAATTATTATAGGTACAATTTATATTATCTTGAATCAGCTTTACTTTTTTAACAACAGTAAATTATTTACAATATCTGAATTATCTGTGACTGCTCCCAGCTGATTCTGCAGGAATGCGACACTCTAAGGACCACTGGCTGAAGGGATATAATATAAACTTCTTAGTAAAATCCAGAGCTCTCCACTATGCTGTCAATCATTGTCACCCTGGTATATGAGGCAGCCGGAATCTCCATTTAATTTCATCTCATGCAGCTTCCCCTTTCAAATCCTCTGGTTCAGCCAGACTTAAACACAGGAGTTCCCAAAGAGCTTCCTATCTGTTCACCTTTGTACAGGCTCTTCCCTCTGCCTGAACTTCTCCTCAGTCCTTCACACAATATTCATTGGAGTACACTGTGCCAAACATATTATCAGGTCAGAATGAAATCCACATACCTTTAATATGTTTCTATTTATTGAATTTAAATTTCTATTTTAAAGTAAGAGGAAGTATGTAAGACTGAAACTGTGATTCACTTTACTCTGGATAAATTAACTATGAAAACAGATCCTTCTCAGAGAAACAGTACTATCATTATTTTTACCAAGATGAAATCTATCTCCCCAACTAAAATATTCCTTCATCTTTCCTCCATTCTCATCATTCCTTGAAGGGTCAGGGGCTCCATTTCAACCTGTGAAGCTTCCTTTCCATAATTCTAAATGGAAATTAGAAGGCCTGGGTTAGATCTTGCTTCTGTGGCTGGCTGAATTACCTTAGAATCTTTTAATTACACTAGGCAACTTTAGCAATTTCACAGAATGTCAACTGCTGAACATATATTTACAGATATTAATACTGTTATATGCTTAGGAGGTTGCTACATGAAATTAAGCCATTCATGTTATTACAACGAAACATGAAATACTAAGAAAGGGGAATGGTGTGAATTGGTTAAAACCTAAAGAGTACATTTTTCTTAAGAAGAAATTTTGTTTTATTTGTAAGTACATACAGTATCCTTTAGCAAAGAAGAGAAAATCTGGACCTGTCCCAATCCTACTGGGTAAACACCTCAGAAGAAGTTTTGGTTGTCACATGACTGGCAGGCCACTGCCACTGGTATTTACTGCCTGGTATCCAGGAGTGAGAAATATACTGCAGAGTGCCTCTGTGGAGGCTTACTGGAAAGAGAACTTCAATTTAAATACCAAAAAAAGCATTTCCAGGTAGAGTTATTCTGCCAAAATGACAAAAAGTTGTAGTTATAGAATAAATATAGAAGAATAAATGAAGCTTGAAGAAACTGCGAATTTTCTTCAATTGGAATAAGCATTCCTCTCACAATCCCATTAATAATTTGAATTTTAACAACAAATTAACTCTAACATAAATTGCATAAGTTGAACATATATTGCTCATATTTATATAATAATGAATTAGAGCACAATTTACTATGGGCTTACATATACTGATTATTGTTAATTGCTCTTGACTTGATTCAAACTCAAGGTGAGTTCATGGATGCAGGGAAGATGGGCTGCGCAGGGCTCGAAAGGCTATGATCTTTCAGAAGTAGATCACTCAGCCAGTCTGCAGAGGCATTTCTGGGTTGGTGTGAACCACCAGCCTTTCAACTGGGAGTGAGGTATTTAACTATTTACACCACCTCCAGGTTGCCAATTGTTAGATATATGAATATGGCGAAAGATCAGGCACTGTTTCGTTCTGCTGCACTTAATGGCATGACAATGAATGATATAATGACATATATTTTACAATACCTCCAGAATCAATTATGTTAATCCAAAACTAAAGAGGTGGAATTAGTTAAAAAAATTTTATCCCATTAAAAAAAATACAATTATATCATATACTTGAATACATGCATAGTTGCCAATGTCTATATTCCTTTAATATCTAGAAAAGTGACCTTGAGTATTTAATCATAAATACTTAATGTTATGTCCAATATTATGACCAAATCCTTTTTGCTTACCTCATAAGGTAGTTTATCAAAATATCCATTGTTTGGCCCTTCCCTGAGAACAGCACTGCTAAATTTTTTGTTAAGATTCTCCATTCCACAGTCATCCTTTTCTTCATAGTCATCATCTTCTAGATCATTCATGTCAATAAGTGAGGTCTTGAGAGAAAGCACTGGCTTGTCCTTCATACCATGTAGCACAACTGCATCTAATTCAGTGTAATAATCCAGAAGAGAACTATTTACTTCCAGCCGTATAAGATTTGTGGGAAAGTTTATCTGCTTAATACAAGGCTTAAACTGGCGAGCCTGAGAAGCATTCACCTTCGTAGGTCTCTCTGACCAAAGAATCTCCCATCTGCCAAAGAAAAAAACTTCCCTATAATATAGTTTAGAATGAGATTTACTCCTACTATAAAGCTATGACAGTCCCAAAACAAGTAAAAGGTAAAGGAATTTTAAAAGTAACTAAAATTAAAAGTATTATTTTCAAGTTATGAAGCTAAATACCATATATTTTATTGCTTAAATTGTTTTTATACCTAAGAAAGTCCTTTCTTTGCAAAATTTGTATTGGTCCATTTTCAAACTGTAATTAGTGGTTAGAGGTACCTGAGAATAGCCTTCAGTTTTACAGCAAGAAAAACACACAGGATAAAGGTGTTCCATAGAGAAGAAAGGTGTTCCATGCAGGGTGAAGGTATTCCACGCAGGGTGGAGGTATTCCACACAGGATAGAGGTGTTCCACACAGGGAAAAGGTATTCCACTGTGGAGATGACAGTGATCACCTTGCCTTAATAAGATCCCTTTTCCAAGCTTTTCTGTTTGTTACTACCCTTATATTCTCAGCTTTTATGTTATCTTTGAATTTCTTTCTTTTTTATCATCAAGTCTTATGTAATCCTTTATCAAATTGTCTTATTGACATGCTTTTTGAATTTCACCATATGCTTCTTACTGTCATGTTTTAGCTGTTCTTCTATCAACAGCACGTAGCAAATATCTAACACACACATTAATCATGATTTTCTACTATTTCTCCAGATGGACTAATCTCCACTTTGCAGTGAGAATAATCATTTACTTTTCATACAATAAATAAATGGAAACTCTTTTATTTAAAAAAAAAAGTCTTCTCCTTGTGTGGCTCATGCAAAATGACATCTAATAATGTTAGAGGAATATTTCATGTCCAGGAAAAAAAGGTACAGTCAGAACCCTGTGAAATAACTGCATATACCTGTTTACAGCACATGTGGACTCAAACTATTTTAGTGTTCACTATCACTGAGGAGGTTTTGTGCGGTCTATCATGCTTGGAAGGGTGGAGAGACGGTACAGGAGAGGAAGACCCCGGATGAGATGGATTAACACAGTATCTGAGGTAATCGAGGTAGGCGTATCAGAGACAGTGAGACTGGTTCAGGGTAGAGCAGAGTTTTGAGTGATTGTACAAAGGGTAGTTATGAGTTGCAGATGAGTCGATGGCACATAACAACAATATCACAAAACTGACAATGTAACATGGAAATCAACTCCACCAAGTAAGGATTTTGCTAAAATAAGCATCTGAAAAACACACATGCATCATGTATGGCTTGAAAAGCATCATAGTACAAATGAGATTCTAAAATTACAAATGTAAGGCTAAAAAAAGGTAGCGATTAGAGCAGAAATACTGTATTTTAATAAGGCATTAGTCTATTGCACTCTATCTACCATCAGAGCATGTAAAATAGACAGATCAAAGTGACTTGCTGAATATTTTTACTGTTATTGTATGCTCTCAAGTTGGAACTAATTCATAGCTGACCCTCCAGTGGATTTTTCAGAAGCAGTAAATCACATGGGAGGAGAGTGCCCATCCTTTTTCTATTGAGCAGCTAGTGAATTCTAACTAAATGCCTTTGGGATTGCAGGGCAGTTTCTTACCGCAAGGCCATGCTTAAATATATCAAGATTGGGGAGCTCTGGTGCTCCCATGAATGAGTGAAGACCAGATGAGTTGTGGGAGGATATCAAGGGTATCATTCAAGAAGAGTGCAAACGTTCTTTACAAAGACAGAAGAGGAAGAAAATGTGTTTTTGTAATGACCTTTTGCTTTCTTCATACCACAACTCATCAGTCTTTGATCACTGGTGTTTAATATATCTAACCTATTCCTAAAATGATCTTGAAATTCAGATGGTATTATTGATTCAAGATCTTATCTTGATTCCTGAGGATGAATTTTCATTTTCTTTGGCCTCAATTGGAACTTGCATATGAGTAACTGATGATCTCACCCACAGTCTACCCTGGTCTAGTTCTGACTGTTGGCTTTGAGCTTCTCCCATCATTTTTTCCACAAACATAGTCTACTTGATTCGTATGCAGCCCATCAGGTAAGTTCCATGTGTAAAGTCTTCGTTTGTGTCTTTTAAAAAAGGTATTTGCAATTTAAGTACAAAATGCAATCATTCTATTTCCATCCTCATTTCTATTAAGTCCATATTATCCAAATACTATTCCTTCTTCACTGTTTTCCATTGCATTCCAGTCACTATTATTAATGCATATTGATAACATGTTTGGTCAACTTCTGACTGCTAGATTTGGTAAAAATTCTCATTGTCTTCCTCTTTGGCTCCAAATATAGGAGTGTATATTTGAATAACAGTCATGTTAATGGGTCTTCCTTATATGCTTAAGGATATTATTCTAGCACTCACAACATTATATTTCTAAATAAACTAGAAATTTACTTTCTACGAATGCAATGCCATTCTTCTTCTGTTTTTCATTCCCTGCAAAGTATACCATATGATGATCTGATATGACATGGATTGCATCTCAGTTTCAAAGAAACAAGGATTCTGACCACTGGACCAATAAGGCAATATCATGATGGATGGAGAGGATCCACAATTAACATCCTTGGTACCACAGTCATGAAATAAGGAGACACACTGCACTGGAAAAAATCTGCATTTAGGGACCTCTTCAAATTATTTAGGAGTAATGATTTCAATTTGAGGACTAAGGCGTGTCTAATTCAGGCCATAATCTTTCTGAACACTTGCTATGCATCTGAGAACTGGCCAACAAATATGGATGACAGGAAAAGAACTGATGCTTTGAGCTGTGGCTTTGGAGAAGACCACTGAACATCTCATGGACGCCCAAGAGAAAAAAACAGATATGTGTTAGAGAGGGTGCAGCTCAAATGCTTTTTAGAAGCAAGAATGATGAGGCTTTGCCTCACATATTTTTGGCATGTGGCTACCCCTTGGAAAGGGACATGATGCTGGTAAAGGTGAAGGGTCAGAAAAGGAGAGGAAGACCCTCAACCAGGTGGACTGAAATGGACTCTGGTGTGTCAGGAAGTGTGAGGATGGCAAAGGATAGAACAGGGTTCAAATCTTTTGTTCACAGGGTTGCTATGAGTCATACTCAACCTCAATGGCACCTAACAACAACAACAGCATGTATATGAGTGACCATGCACATATACACACATCACACACACACACACACACACACACACACACACACACACACACACACAAACTTTCTGGGAGATAAACCAAAATATTTTCATTTTCTAGACCTAGGACTGTGTAGGATGTAATGTTATTTAACTCTTTAAATAAGAATAGCCTGTATATTTATCTCATTTATTTGGGAATGGCATCTACTTCCTAAACAACTTGCCTCCAGAAACTCTATGAACTTTGATTTATTTTTACACATTGTTATTTATCCACGAGATAAATGTGACAAAACTTTTATGTCCAAGTATTTCACAGACAGAGAATCACATGTAATTCATTTTGGAATCCCTCTCTGGCTAGGCTTCAGTTCACATTTGGAGCACTTTGTTCTAACCAACAGTAGCTTCATCACACCACTCATTTCTCTTTCTGATAGTCTACGTCCTCCAGTGCTTTGAAAGTCCTGAATGTCTACTATGTGTCCAGAGCTTGAGAACAAATTATTAAACACTCTCCTCCCTGCGATTGCTTAAGTGCTGTTACACCCGTAGGAAACTCTCTTTCAGGTGCCCCAAAAGCAGCAGGTAAGCAGGAAAGGAAGAAAGATGTTTTATTAATGGAAACCAGAGAAAGCATGTTTTCTGACTTAGGCTTGAAGTCAGGCACATGTGTGTACAAAGTTTCCTTGTAATCAAAATTTCCTCTGGTTTAGTAAGCACATCAAGTCAGCAAAAGTTTTATTGCAAAGCCTGATATATTTCAGCAGCTCAAAGCAAAAGGAAGCACATGAAAACAGTGAAAAAAAGAGAGAACTAGGTACCTCCTCATTGCTCACCTCCCAATTTATCTCTGGATAGAAATTATCAAACTAGCATTCTGACTAGGGGAAAAGAAAAACCCCACAACACGTTAAGGATCTGATCAATTATGACTTAAGTGGCCAAATTATTTCTTGGCCACAAAGCAAGGGGACCAGACAATGAAAAGCTTGAGCCACTCCCTCCTGCAGTCAATAATCTCAGTGACAACTTCTTTTTGCATAGCTTTCTTCAACATCAAACAATTAAAAAGCTCTTAACACTCAGAAGGAAAATTGAACTATCCATATCAAAAAATTTTATCTCCAGATAACTTCACTCTAATCAGTTTCTTTCATATGATTTCTGTTTGTCATTTTCTCCCTTCTCTTTTCTCTTTCACAGTTTAAATTAGTTTATCTTCTGAGTTACACAGAATACAGTAAGGTTTTATTCTCAGGATCAAGATACTTTTTTAAAGTTTTCTCTTAAAAGGGTATAAGCCATGAAGTCAAAAGACTTTTAGATCTTAAAGAATGTTAACTTTTCTACTTCACTTTTGGAACAAGAAAATGCAGGTTAACGAGATGGAAAAGGACTATTTTAAAAATCTAAGCCATCTGATGCTATATATTCATTTCTGGAAAATAAATTCCTTTACTACTGCAATATACTTTTTTAAAAAAATAATATTTTATGTTGGGTGAAAGTTTATGCAGCAAATTAGTTTCCCACTTAATGATTTTTTTGATAAATTGTTACAAGATACTAGTTACATTTTCAAAATGAAGCATTCTCAGTATGCCCATTTTATTTGTTATATTTACATTAATCTGGCTTCCACAGCCTTCTTTACCATCTCAGGTTTGTTTAGGATAAAATTTGGTCTCATATATTTGTTAATTTAAGGGAGTATTGGATCCATAAATTACATTGTTTATTTTATAAGTAGATCTCTTCTTTGGGTGAAAGGTGACTTCTGGGAATAGCTTCAGATACAAGTTCAAAGGATCTCTTAGGGCGCTTAACTCAGGGATTTTTTTAGTCTTTATTGGTCCAGTAAATCTGGTTGTTTTTAGGCACTGAGTTCTCTACATTTGTCTCCCATTCTATCCAAGACTTTCTATTGAGTCCCTGACCGAACAGTTGAGATGGTAGCCATCTACTTCTTTTGTGCTCAGTCTAGTTGGCTAGAAAAGGCTGCCGTTTGTGATTTATCTAATGTATTTGTTGTTGTTGTTGTTGCCTAACTCCTAACATAGGCATAAAGTCATGTGTTCAATTAAAACATTAGGCAGAATAACCCAGTGGTTCCCAGATGGCACATGACAACAAATATGAAAATACAGAAGAATTAATATACAGTGTATAGAAAAAGTAACCATACGGGTATGTTGCTGTAAAACTGCCAACAATTCATTATTCCAATCTCTGTAACTTCTTAGGATAAATGGAAATTTACTTTACGGAAATGATGGTAATGATAGGTAATATATTTTGTCTTTTGATTTTCTTTTTATTGAGAATATGTATAGCAGAATATACACAAATTAAACAATTGCTACACGTACAATTTGGTGACACTATGATTATGCTCTTTGAGTTACACAACCTTTCCCTCACCCTTTGTGATGGCTAATGCTGTATGTCAACTTGTCTAGGCTGTGATTCTCATTTTTTTCCAAAATTAGAAGCTCAGCATCAAGAAAACAAAGATTCTCACCACTGGACTGACTGGCAGCAACATGATGATGGTGAAAAGACTAAGACTGTTCACAGCTTTCGTTTGCTTGGCTCCACAACCAAGACTCTTGATACCAGCAGCCAGGAAATTAAAAGATGAATTACATTGGGAAAGTCTGCTGTCAGAAACTTCTCCAAAGTACTGAAAAGCAATGATGTCAGTTTGGAGACTAAAGTGCACCTGATGCAGGCCATGATCTTTGCGGTTACTTGCTATACATCTGAGAGCTGGACAATGACTAGGGATGATAGAAGAAGAACTGATGCTGTGGTGCTGGAGAAGAGTACTGAATAAACCATGGACTGCTGGAAGAACAAACAGGTTCATCCTGGAGAGCGAGACCAGTCTTCTCCAAGGAGGCAAAGATTCTGAAGCTTTATCTGACATATTTTGGACATGTTGCAAGAAGGCACTAGTCCTTGGAGAGGGACATCATGCTTGGAAGGGTGGAGGGACAGTGCAAGAGACGAAGAACCTCGATGAGATGGATTAATTCAGTGACTGGGGTAATGGGGGTAGATGAGTCAGAGACAGTAAAGTTGGCATAGGATAGAGCAGGGTTTAGGGTTGTTGTACACAGGGTCGCTATGAGTCACAAGCAACTCTACAACACATAATAACAACTCTAATATATGAATTCATCCCCTGTTTTGTGATCCAATATGAACAGCCAATCTTTCGATGGCCAACTGCGGTCTCAAGGGTTCCCTGTTCAAAGTGGCTTTCCTAGCCACTAAGTTTGACTTTGACACACAGATGGTCAAGGACATATAAATGTGGTTTATCAGTCTATTCATAGGGGTCTGGCTAGTCAGTCCATTAAACCGAGCAGACTGAGCAACAGAGACCAAGAATCTCGCCACTAGCAAAGAAGCAGAGATTGTCCCTTTGGGGTCAGGGATTCTTGCACCAATCAGACCTAGATAGCAGAGGCAGCAACAGCATAACTGAAAACCAGATACCCTACATGAGACAGGGCTGACCTCCAACTTTCTGAAATCTGTCTATATTTATAAATGTTTTCCTTATTTTGGTCTTCTAGAGAATCCAGCCCAAGATGCCTTCTTTTTCCAAATTATTTTATCCCACTTATTAACACAAACTCACTCCCCCCTAAATTTTCTATCTAATCTTTGGAATTGCAGGTGTCAATTTGATCCCATAGAAATATATCTTAGAAGAATTCAAGGAAGATCTTTTTAATGAGGTAAGTAAGCTGAACTACTGTTTGATTTAAGAAGACTTCAGAAGATATCTGTTATTTAGGATTTAAAGATCATCTCAGGGCAATAATTTAAGGACTCATCCAGCCTTCATGGCTCCAGAAAGTCTGGCTTCTATGAGAATTTAAAATTCTGCTCTGTATTTTCCCTCTTCAGGTCAATGTTCTTCTAGATAATTTCTAATCAAAATGTTCAGTAATGATAATCAAATACTACCCAGTTCTTCTGGTCTCATGGCAAAGGGGAAAGTTTTATATGGAGACAAACAACCACACATTTCTTTCTATGATTACTTAGAAAAGTCAGCACTTCAGTTTTTATTTTTATTATGTTTTTTTTTATAAGTTTATAGCAATGCCAATATGCCATAATGTTGTGGCTTGTGTAGTGGCTTTGTGTATTTCAACACCATTGGGATCATTTTCAGATTAAGACAGACTAGAAAAAAATACAGTACTCTATTTGTAGAATAAATTGGACAGTGAAAACCTTATAAATAGTAGCAGAACACTGTCTGATACACAGACAGAATATATGCCTCTCAGGTTGGAAGGTATTCAGAATAAAACTGGGAAAGAATTGCTACCTCAAAGTAAAGTTGATCTTAATGACAAAAATGCTTTTGGAGCCTTCTATTGTTGATATGGCATGGCTTAAAATGAGAAAAGACTGAACATACCCACAAGTAATGCTAGAATATGGAATATAAGAATCAAGTAAAACTGAAAGCTGGAGGGGTGGGGAGCGGGGGAATGAAATAGAATGAGTAAACATCAACATCCTACATATGAATGAGCTGAAACCGAATGGAATTGGTCATTTTCTATCAAATCACCATATGGCAGGAATGACAAAGGAACAGCACTGAAAAGAATATTTTGAAATCTGTTGTGAAAAACAACTCTATTAGTGATAGTATACAAATATCTATGAGGAACATCAGATAAATGATTATTATTAAAACTGATAAAATATTAACATTTATTAACAAACTGTGGACGGAGTATTACCAAAACAAGTATACACACTGACTATGATAATATAAATAGATACTGCCTCTTTGGAGGGCATCTGGCTCATCCCAAAATTGAAAGTATCTATACCCTTGACCCTGGAATCCTCCCGGGAATTTATTTCAGAGATACACTTGCACACATGTGAAATGACTTACAAAAAGATAATATCCGGTAAAAAAACTGCAACATTATTGTCTAGAAACAACTAAATGTTCATTAATAGATATCTGGTTAAGAAGTTGTAAGACATATACTAGGCATTACTTGCAACTGCAGGATAGCATAAGGAAGCTCTCATTGTATATATATTGAAATACAGACACTATCAACTGAAATAAATACAGAATGATGTGAATTGTATGCTTAATTCTGTGTATAAAGAAAATAAAAGCATATTAGTATTTTCCTATATCACTGTAAAAAGTCCCTTGGAAGATAGACTACAAATGGAGCTAATAATGCTATCACTTTGGGAGAGAAATGGAGTCAAGGTACCTGAGAACAGGCTACATGTGAGAGCGCATTACATCTTTTTTAGATTTTTTTTTTTAGTCACGTGACTATATTACTTAGGCAAATAATTATATTGAAAAATCAGAAGGCTGAACTACAAAAACAGGGGTAGGCTGCTATGCAAATCAATTATGCAAATAAGCTTTTAGGAAGAAAACATAAATGACTTAAAACAGCAGTTATTTGTATATAAATACACTGTTATAAAAACATCTACCTAATAGTAAAGTTAAATCTCTAAAGGACTATTGATAGATAACATTCTATACGATTATTTTCTTAACTACTTTTCAAAGTATTTGAAAGTAATAATATTTGTTTGAAAATATTTTAGCAGTCACATTTTCCCACTAACTTCTCAAGCTAGTCCATGTTCCAATTTGTTTAATGGTGCTTGACAGGTGGGATAAAATCTGTGACACAAATCTCACCATCTATTAATATTACAGTGCAAAGTGTTATATGTATGAAGAACACATTCAATAGTGTGACTTTCCGCCTCTACAATGTATCAAATGAAATTTCAGAAATGAAATTTATTTAAGTTACTTAAGTAAATTCTTACGGAAAGAAGAAAAGAAAAAAAAAGACCTCAAATATTATAACAATTAAGACTTTGAGACTCTTAGGTCATTAAAAACAACTCTTACCTGACATTAGCCGGTGGACTTGGGGAATAGGGATTTGCAGAACAAGCCAGAATTCTAATGACTGCTCCAGGATGATAGGTTTCTAGAACATGAACAGCTGTAGGATATACCTGTTGTTCAAAAGTAAGCTCCACATAGTCCTGGCTCTGAAAATTGGGTGGTGTCCTCTTGAATGGCAAGGAGGCACTAGGGCACTGATCCCACCATGTTCCATAAGTTCGAAACACAGCTGTTTGAGTAAAGTCACCAGAACTTGGAAACACATTTGGTACACCTGCCAGATTCCACATGGTATATGACATACTATTCTCACTTCCATAGTGGGAGCTGAAATCTACTACTTCTTTGGCATACTGGACCACCTCTGCATTGAGAGGGGAAGTCCGGCTGTTTGATTCTATAGTTCTATGGCTGTTCATCATTTCTCCTCTTGCTGCCGTCCTGGCTCGGCGCCGAAGGCATATATAATAAAACATAGTCAGAACTGTTAACATGGGAAAGACTGGTGGCATCTAGAGGTGAATTATGAAGCTTCAAAAGGTCAGGTGTCCTCAGTAAGATGCATGAACTCTTTGAAGGATGTTCTAAAAAATGAATGGCTTGGTGAAGGAAAAGAATTTAAATAAGCAGAAAAATGCATGGATAAAGTAACTAACAGGCCATTTACCCAATCCTGTTACCCAGAACAAAACTTAGAAGAAACAAGTTTTCAAATGAAAACGTGAATCTCTGGTATAAATCATTTATTTAATTTCTAAGAAATCTAAATATTGGAAATGTATATAATTTTATGTTACATGAGAAACAAAACTGGTGTTTAGGGTGATAGAAGATGTATGATCTATAAAATCCTATTTTAAACAAAATTATGATCATTCAACAAATATGAAATCTGTAATATTTTAAAATTAAAAATATTTCATAACATAGTAAATAATTAAAATACTGTTATAAATTCAAAAGGATCTTAGGTATCACTATAATTTCACATATTAAGAAACGATTCTCTATTGTTAATCATTACGCTCTTCCAAACAAGCGAAGTACAGATTTCACAACATTGGAATATAATTTTCTGGAGCTGACAGTTAATCCAGACCAACAAAATTAACTGCCTTACACATCACAGATCACCAGACTGTGTTTAATTTATAACTCTTAGCATTACTTGTTAGGGCAGTCCATGAGCAGTTGACATCTGGTCTGTTGCCAGCTACTCTTAGAAATCACTCACCCCAGATAGAATGGTCACAGGATACACAGAGGAAATGCAAAAGTTGGCACATATCCATGTGGCCTGAAATTAGCGTGCTGACTTCAGGTACAAATGCTCAAATGTGACATTTTCTTACCTGTGGAAAGAAGAGTTTTAGAATATGTTTTTATTGCCAAATTAAGAAACCAAATACACCAAAAAGCTTACTATTGCAGGAAAAGAGCTACTTATTAAACACTGAATTCAAACAAGAAAAGTTTCATATTTTGAATCATCTGGACAATTTTAGAAAATGCATTTAAAAAATGTATAACAAAATACAATAATGAATCATTTTTTATAAAGATTACAAACCCATAATTTATGCTATCAAACTGTGTTTGTAGATCTATTTTATTGACATTACACAGTTTTGCAAATTTTTAGTTTGCAATCTTCAGTAATCAAGAGGAACTCATGAGAGGAGACCTGACATTGTCCCCATGCCAGTCCCACTAATTTATAAAGTAAGCTTGACAACTGTCCACACTAAGTAAGTGATCTCTTGTCTATACAAATGAGACATCAAATATACTTGCTTTTGAACCTGAAAAATCTTGAACTTAACATTTCAGGAAAAGATGGTATTAATTTATTTAATAGAGAAACATGTCAACCTTTCAAAACTTAAAAATTAGGATTTTAACATATTACTTGTCTTAAATATAATTTTCACTCAAAACAACTTCAGTCACTTTCTCTAACCTACAAAACAGGTTATTTTCTTCAGGCTGGCATTTAAAGGCTCTACTCACATTAGACCCACCCCTTCTTGTCTAATCTAGTCAAGTCCTAATCACTTTCTATTTTACTTTAAGTCTAACTTCCTCAACTATTCCTTTCCCAATTACTACATGGCCCTTCAGTATATACATTTCTTCTGACTAATAAGACCTACTAGCTGGCACCTATATGTGAGTTAGAATCATGCCTATGTGCTAAATTTCACAAGGCTCTAGATTAGGAGGAAATTTCTTAAAAAAGGGAAAGCAGGCAAATACCATTATTTTCAAAGTGCGATGGGAAAGTCGGCTTTTAGGGACCTCTCTAAAGTACTCAAGAGCAACGGTGTCTCTCTGGAGACTAAGGTGCGCCTGATACAGGCCATGGTCTTTGTAATCGCTTGTTATGCATCAGAGAGTTGGACAATGACTAGAGAGGACAGAAGGGGAGTTGATGCCTTTGAGCTGTGGTGCTGGAGAAGAGTACTAAATGTACCATGGACTGCCAGGAAAACAAACAGATTCATCTTGGAGAGGATTAAACCAAGCTGAGGCTCAATGTCAAGAAGACAAAGATTCTCACCACTGGACCAATTGGCAGCGTCAGGATGGATGACGAAGAGATTGAGAGTGTTCACAGCTTCAGTTTGCTCGGCTCCACAGTCAACACTCTTGGCACCAGCAGTCAGGAAATCAAAAAGTGTATCGCGATGGGAAAGTCTGCTGTTAGGGACCTCTCTAAAGTACTCAGGAGCAACAGGGTCTCTCTGGAGACTAAGGTGCGCCTGATACAGGCCATGGTATTTGCAATCGCTTGTTATGCATCAGAGAGTTGGACAATGACTAGGGAGGACAGAAGGAGAGTGGATGCTTTTGAGCTGTGGTGCTGGAGAAGGGTACTGAATGTACCATGGACTGCCAGGAAAACAAATAGATTCATCTTGGAGAGGATTAAACCAAGCTACTCCTTGGAGGCAAGGATTCTGGGGCTTCATCTGACATACTTTGGACATGTTGCCAGGAGGGACGGGTCCTTGGAGAGGGACATCATGCTTGGGAGGGTGGAGGGATGGCGCAGGAGGGGAAGACCCTCTATGAGATGGATTGATTCGGTGACTGGGGTAATCGGGATGGGTGTGTCATAGGCGGTGTGGTTGGCGCAGGACAGAGCAGGGTTTAGGGCTGTTGTGCATAGGGTCACTATGAGTCACAAACGACTCGACGGCACATCCAACAACAAGTAAGTATAAAACCAGAAAACCAAAAGCACTGTCATCAAGTTGATTCTGATTCACAGTGACTTTGAAAGGACAGAAAAGCTCTGCCATAGAATAGAGTTTACCAAGGCTGTGAATCTTTACAGGACAGTACTTGTCTCATCTTTCTCCCAAATGGTGACTAGGAGGTTTGAACTGCTGGCTAGTAACTAAATGCCTTAATCACAGCACCAGAGTTTCTTGCTAAGAGTACAAATCACTTATTTACTGATACTGAGGAGGAACAAATGCATAGATGATCCCCCACTAGGTTTTGGAGGTTGTACATGTAGGTTAGCAGGTTAGCAATCCAACTCCCTAGGAACTACACCACCAGAGCTCTCTTGTGTTGTTGTGTAGTAGTCAGAACCAATCTGTAGCTGACCCTCTGGCAGGTTTTTAGAGGCTGTTAATCACAAGGGAGGAGATCCTTCTGCAGAGCAGCTGGTGGCCTCCAACTGCCTGCCTTCGAGATTGCAGCACAGTTTTTTGTCAGTAGGCCACTAGTGCTAGGCATAAAATGTTTAGTATCATAAAGATAAGCAGAGCAGTGTGTGTGTATTTGTTGCAATGTGCTGTCGAGGAGACCACAACTCTTAGTATACCTCTGAACCCTGCCAATCTCACTATCTCTGATATACCTGACCCGTTGCCATAGTCACTGTGTCAATTCATCTTACCCAGAGTCTTCCTCTCCTGCACTGACTCTCTGCCATTTCAAGCACGATGTCCTTCTTGAAGGAATAGTCCTTCCTGGCAACATGCGAGACTGCGTTTCAAAATCTTTGCCTTCAAGGAGCAACTGAGTTTCACCCTCTTTAGGACAGCCTTATTTGTTCTCTTGGCAGTGTATATTATGCTCAATACTCTTCTCCAGTACCACAACTCAAAGGCACCAATTTTTCTTCTTGATTAGTCATGCATATATATTTAAAATATATACATAGTTGTTAAGGAGTTGAGCTTCCAATCCAATGACAGGTGGTTCAAATCCAGTAGCTAGAGGGGCCATCTCGCTAGTAAACTGATGTCAGCCAGGTGGACTGACATGGTGACTGCCACAATGCACTCTTGTGTATCAGGAAGTGTGAGGATGGCACAGGATAAAACAGAGTTCAGATCTTTTGTTCATAGGGTCGCTATGAGTTGTATTCAACTCGATGGCACTTAACAACAACAACAACAACAATATACATAAAGAGAGAGAGAGACACATACTTACATATTTAAATTCACAATGTTAAGAATAAGAAAATAAATGCAATGGTAAACAAAGAGCTGAGCTTGAAAAGAACGAGAAAATCAACAGCTGTAAGAAACAAGAGGAAACTCAAACAGAAGATAACCTGACTCATGAAGTCAGTGATAGGACCTAATATTTAGAAGATTTTCTACACCTGAAGAGTGATTATTTCAAGTCATGGGTCTCATTTGGAAGGACCATCACAAAAATAGGATCGGAGAAGTTTTCCTACGAAAGTAGGATTACAAAAACTCACTGGTGAGGAACCTCAAGGTAGTATAACATCAACTGAGGCAATGGGAATAAAGCCACAAGAGCACACTAGAACCTAAAAAATAGAACAGAACAGTCTCAATAGACTTTGAGAAAGAAGGGTTAACAAGCATTTATCCAATAAGGTCTTTGAACAGTCTTGGTGGTGATATATTCTGAAACAATGAATCAGATTCACAAAAGCACCAAGTTCTGAAGTATTTTAGTGCTGAAGAAGTTAGGCGCTGTCAACTTAGCTCACAGTGACCCTGTGTATAAGAGGAAGAAACCCCACTCAGCTCTCAGCCATCATCACCACAATCTCTGCCATTCCTAAAGCCAATGCTCCAGTTAACTTGTCAGGGTTTAGGGCTGTTGTGCATAGGGTCGCTATGAGTCGGAAACGACTCGACGGCACATAACAACAACAACAACAACAAACACCTCCTGGTGGCCCTAGTGGCAAGAAGCTGCACTACAATTCTGAAGGCACATGGTTCGAGGCCACCAACTGCTCCCTTGAAAAAGGATGGATAATTTCTTCCTGCGCATTTAACAGCCTCTGAAAATCTGCCAGAGGGCCAGCTATGGGTTGGTTCTGATTCTATGGTACACAATAACAACCACAAGAAACACCTGTTGGAGGATCAGCTATGGGTCAGTTCCAACATGGTATCACTTGGTAGTACATGTTGTTGTGTACATAGAGTTGGAACCAACCCATAGCTGACCCTTCGGTGGGTTTTCAGAAACAATCACACAGGAGGAGACTGCCAAGGTCTCTCCTCACTACATGTCCAAAGTAAGTTAGACGGAGCCTCAGAATCCTTGCCTCCAAGGAGCCACCCGGTTTAACCCTCTCCAGGACAA